TATTATGTAGAGTAGAGTATATAGAATAAAGACATTAGATAGAGTTCTTGTATTTTTGGATTTGCTGTACTATGCACTAGTGTTCTTGCTTATGTATGTAATCAAAGATAATTTCAACTTTTTTTAAGGTAATAAATATTCAATTCAAAAGAGAAAAGTTTTTCTACACGAAAATATAATGTACACTATTGGAACTAACTAGATGCTTTCAGCATGTACTGTCACCTCACTAAAAGTCCGGCTCCTAGGTACAATCTCTGGGCCTACAGCTACATCTGGACATGCTGCAATATCAGATTCTTCACTCGTTACTGTCTCGCTTATAGTTCTGCTTCTAGGTACGATCTTTGGGTCAACTTCTACATCTGGACATGCAGAAATATCAGGCCCGGGACCTGCTTTTATCTCAGGATGTACGGCGCTGTCTGACACACTACCATCTGTCTGGTATGCCTGATGTGAGATTGGCACTGGCTTACCAATAATACTCAATGATGCAACTTTAGCTCTGTTGTAGGCTGTTGTGAAACTGAAACCCAGATACCTGCAATCAAATTGAATATTTCTGTTACAAAATGTACACTGAGAAGTTGAGCTGTAAAAGATATTGTTCTATTCCTAGAAACCAAACACAACACAAAATCCCAAACCTCACAGAGACTTGGTTATAGAGCATAAGGGTTCAGATTTACTTTATACTGACGCCACCCCTGACTAACTCTGACGCCCTATAAAGAAACTTTATAGAGTTTAAGGGTCCACAATGATCAACTCTCCACAAACTAAGCATCATAAAGAGGCTTGGTTACAGAGCATCAGCTTTCCTCGTTGTACTGCCCTCATTTAATGTGCAATTTACTATGTGCATTTAAACGCAATATGTTGATAATAAAGTGTCCTAATGAAAATATTCAGGGGAATACAACAGCACGGCCTCAGTTGGTAGACTAAACTTATTTGGGTTCGAACCCAGATGTTGCAAGAGGATTCTGTGTAACATCAACTTACCTCAGACATGACATTTCAATAAGAATGCATGTGCCAATACTGACAACATTCAAAGGGGAGGATGGGTACTGGCGGAAAATAAGCACAAGACATATGGGACACAGCATCATCAGTAACACCGTCAAACTTGACAAGATTGCATGCTTCCTCTGGAAACCTTGTAGAAAGTGCACTTTACCATCTTTTAGAATGTACTGTAATGAGAAATGGTTATTGTCCAATCAAAATGTAACTACTGTATACTTGAAAAATAATATTTATTGTATTCAATATGTAATAATACTTAGAAATAATACCTATCATCCATTAAAAATTTAATATCTGTAAATAACTGTCCAATCAAAATGTAACATAGCCCCCACCGCCTACCTGGGGTTTTCCTGTGTTTGATGACAATATATATTATGTTTGTAGAAAAACAGACAAATCAGTAATTTATATTTACCTCTTCTTTACACACTTTGCACTTCTTTGAATCTTCATTTTCCATAGTCTACCATGAAAATAATAAATAATCATGTGAAGAAAAAAAACCCATATTCCAAATACAGTAATCGAATATTAATAAGTTGATCAAAATGAGGGAAGGAAAGAAGGCAAGTAAATTGAATGCTGTATGATATGCAAGACAACATATTATCACCTCTGCCAAGAAGGGTATGTATTCACTGCTGCCTGTTAGCAAGATTTCTCAAAAACTAAGATACGGATCATCATAAAATTTACTGGAATTGTACAAAATAATCTGAAAATTTTTGGAAGAAAGGACAAGTTGAAGGTCAAAGAAATTCAATTTTTTAATTACTCTTGGCCATAAAAAAAAATAATGGAATCGCCCATACACACCCTGTGTATTATTTGGTATTCAGGCACAAGAATATTGAGTGACTGCCCTAGTTATAAATACTGTACATTACACAAGTTCAGACAAATTGACTTAACGCCCACCACACACAATACAGTATAGATAATACAGTATACTATATGTCGCAAAGACAAGCCAAACCAGTCACTCATCACAAAAATCAATTTTTAGTAATTAATACAGGGTTAAACTGTAAAATGAGAGCTATAAAATGGTGAAAGAATCATTCAAATCTGACATTTCGTTATGAAGTTACAGAAATTTAAACATACAGCTGTTTAAAGAACAATATTTGAGAAATCAGCCTTTAAAGTTTATGATTTTAGGCAATTTCTCAGGCAGCAACTATTACTAAATCGTTAAAAATTGTTGTTTTAACATTGAAAATGGGGACAATAACAGCATAGCATGATATATAGATATATAAAGGTTAGTTTAGTCATGGTTTAGTGTAATAAAATAGATTTCAAAAATTTTGACATACCAGCATGTTTTGGCCATTATCTCTGAAACAGGATTTGTGACAAGTGACTGGTTTGGCTTGTCTTTGCCAAATATTATAAAAGCTTAATTCAGTTAGAAAGTATGTAAAGGAACCATAATTAATCTTTCAAAACTATAGAGGGGTAATTTCTTACCTCAACTAACCACCTCCTTAAGCATTCATGATGCACATATGCAACATCCCCTTTACAGTTGCATGGCTGTATTAAAGGACCGCTGGTAGTACTTTCTGCATCATAACATATCCAACAATCTAAACCTGAAATTGAATTAAAATATATTATCAAAAACCTTAGTTTGTATATAAAACATCTTACTAGTAAAAAATCTATTCCACAAGGCTCAATAATATCAAGTGTTCTTCACTCTCAAAGCTTTTTAAAATGGCACTGGCTATAGAGAATAAAAAATCAAAGATGATCAGCTTCATATACAATTGTGACTGGCTCTGACAAAACCAGCCATTTGTAAGAAAATTCAAAATTGAGTTTTGCATCATTTCTTCTTTAAAACAGTGTTGTTTACTTGATGGAAATTGGTTGTATTAGCAAAGTTATGAATATTTAATTCATTGGATATCAGCCATATAGGTTTTGAGAAAACAGCTTCCAAAGATTTCAAAATCATTAGTTTATAATAAGATCTGTATTTCAAAAATAATTATATAATATATTTTTCAGTTAGATTTAGTGATTGATATAATTTTGCAGAAATGTTCTTCAACATCTTTTATAAAATGCAAAAAACATGAAAAATTTCAAAATTCTTTAACGTTTTGGGTGCTTGCGCAAAATTAGAAATTGCAACAAATGGCAGGTTTTGCCAGAGCTAGTCACAATTATGGACCATTAAAGATCATAAAGGGAAAAAAAAATTTGAAGAAATTTAATTAAATTGAATAGCTTGTAAACAATGCTAGAGTAGGGATGCCTAGGTAGTGTTTCTACGAACAAAAAACTTTTTCTAAAAATCGGCCGGAAAAAAAAAATTTTTTTAGCAATGTTGGGCGGGCTGGATCAAAATCTTTGGCGGGCCGGAGTTGGTCCGCAGGACAGGGGTCGAATACCGGGGATATAGAGCATCTTGTGTGTAACACCTATATGCTTGTTTTGTGCATGAATTTGCCACTTAGAAAAATGATTAAGTTCGCTGCTTGGCATATGCTTGGACTGTACCTAAAATAAATAAATAAACCCCTTCCAGTCGTATGCCGTCGCGACGACGCCCTCTTTGACCATAGTTCATAGCGAGGGGCTTCATACGTACGCCCTGCATAGATTTCTTGATAATTATTTTATAGCTAGGCTGCCCTCTATAGGATTTTTTGGGAGTGATCTAGGAGTATTTCTGTAGAGGGCCTCCTGTATTCAGACCAAATAAAATGTCTGTGCTCAGTAAAAACCCGACATTTAGTGTAGATGATGTCATTTTTCAGCTTTGGTACAGCCTCAGGCAATGGTAATGGGGTAGACTGGAAAGGGTTAAAATATGCTTATATGTGTAGTTTTTGATTTTAAAGAAATTCTGTGCAGTTGGCCAAAATTATATCCAGGGCTCTGGGATTAGAGGGCAAGGCATAGTACCACCTATCCACTGATTCATGCTAAACACAAACATTACCTGTACATGTTACCCTGGCTTCAGTTGAATCATACTTCTTCTTTCGACATCTCAATAATGATGTCTTCTCCGTGTCTTTATTCTTTAACAAATACAAACAGAATATCAAAATATTAAAAAATCTGAAGATACACAAATGGCTTTAGGAGAAAACCTGGTTGTTTCTGATACTTTGATTTGATTTGAATTGGTTTATTCGATATCAACAGAAAAACATCACAAAATCGGAACAACAATAAACAGGAAAAAAAAGAAGAAAAAACAAGCAAGTCATCATTGTTGATATCTAGGATAACCCTCTAAATCTCAACACAAGATTTATTTCCAGAGGGGTCCCCAAATACAAAAAATAGACAACACTAAAAATAGACATGAAAAATGAGTTAAAAATCAACAAGCAAGAATAAAATATTCCAGAGAACATAGGCAAAAACCGAGATCTTATGCAGTTAAAATAGTTATTATTAATTTATTAACCGATTAGTGAGGGTAGACATGACATGAGATGCTCCTTAACTCGAATTTTGAATGTGTTGTAATTTGAAATTGCTTTTATTACATCAGGCAGACTGTTCCAATTATGGATTCCGGAATAAAAGAAAGTAGAAGTGATTTTGCCTTTGGTCTTTGGAACGTGAAAGTTAAAAATACTGCCCCTTGTAGTGTGACGATGAAGATCGGATAATTTGGTGAAATTGTCATTTAAATATTCAGGGCAGGAACCATTAAAAATTTTAAACATATGGTTGAGTCTTAATTGAGAAGCTCTAGAGGCAATGTTCAGAATACCAATACTAACATAATCATTAGCATTGATATGGTATCTGGGGCCTTCGCTTAAAAAAAAATCTAATAGTTTTTTTGCGCTATCTGTAGCTTTTGTAGCTGTAGCTATCTGTAGCTTTTTCTTCAGGCCAGATGAAATTCCACAATACCACGATGAAACAGAATAATCAAATATGCAGAGTATGAAGGCAGAACGAATGACTTTCTTTACCTTGCTATTAAAACACTTAACTTGCCTATACAAAAATTTTAACCTGACATTGACTTTTGTTACAATACTGTCAACAATAGTGTCTGCAGAAAGTGTGTTATCTAATTCTAGACCAAGATATTTGACTTTGGGAGATGCAGCAATATTATATCTTTGCATGTAATATCTATGTTTATGGATTCCTTCACCTTAACGGAAGAACCAAAGATACTAAAGCCTTGTAATGACTATTAAATTTTATTTGACAAAAACATGTGACATGCCTCTATATGGTCATGTTGACATCACATCATGACCATATATAGGCACATCATGACCATATATAGGCACATCATGACTATATATGGGCATACAACAGTTTTATCAAAGAAAAATTGATAGTGTGGACATAGCTTAATGTAAATTCCAATCAAATGTTTGTGAAGGTAACCACCCCTTATTTCTTGTGACACCCTTCCAATTTAGATATCTCTTTCTTAACCCTTAT